ACTAAGTATGCAGCAGAAGACTTTAGAAGATGAAGCTGAACAATAAAAATGTTAACTAAACAGATTGAAAGAAACTTTTTTTTTTTTTTTTTTTTGAGATTGAGTCTCGCTTTGTCACCAGGCTGGAGTGCAGTAGCGCGATCTCGGCTCACTGCAACCTCCAATTCCCTGGTTCAAGCAATTCTCTTGCCTCAGCCTCCTGAGTAGCTGGGATTACAGGCACATGCCACCACACCCAGCTAGTTTTTGTATTTTTAGCAGAGACAGGGTTTCACCATGTTGGCCAGGATGCCCTTGATCTCCTGACCTTGTGATCCACCTGCCTCGGTCTTCCAAAGTGCTGGGATTACAGGCGTGAGCCACCATGCCTGGCCTGTTTGTTTGTTTTTTTTTTTTTTTAGACAGTCTTACTCTGTGGCCAACGCTGGAGTGCACTGGTACAATCTTGGCTCACTGCAACCTCTGCCTCCTGAGTTCAAGCAATTCTTATGCCTGTCTCCCAAGTAGCTGGGAACACCACAGCCTACTAATTTTTATATTTTTAGTAGAGATGGGGTTTTGCCATGTTGGCCAGGCTGGTCTCAAACTCCTGGCTTCAAATGATCCACCATCCTCGGCCTCCCAAAGTGCTGGGATTACAGGTATGAGCCATAGTGCCAGGCCTGAAACAAACTTTCAAGTAAGACTAAAACTGTTCCATCCCAAGTAGCTGATGTGTTGTTTTTCCTGCCATTCATTATAAAAATACAAAAATTGGCTGGGCACAGTGGCTGACACCTGTAATCCTACCCACTTTGGGAGGCGGAAGTAGACAGAAAATTTGAACCCATGAATTCAAGACCAGCCTGGGCAAAACCCCATCTGTACAAAAAATACAAAAATTAGCTGGGCATGGTGGCATGTGCCTATAGTCCCAGTTACTCAAGAGGCTGAGATGAGAAGGAGAAACACCTGAGCCCAGGAGGTTGCGGCTACAGTGAGCTGTGACTGTGCCACTGCATTCCAGCCTAGGCTACCGTGAGACCCTCTCTCAAGAAACAACAACAAAAAAAAAACTGCTCTTGGTGTCTTTTTTTTTTTTAATAACATAATGGGTTTATATTTAATATAGTACTTCTCATCAGGAGGATGTTACTCAGTTAATGTAAAGTTTTTTTCAAAACATTAAATCTCTTCCATGTCAATGTTTATAGTTTTTTTTTTTAACATTAAATTTTTTCTGCATTTCAGTATTAGATACACTGAATACATTTTTCTAAATGTTTTTTCCCCAGAGATAAAAGTTTTCCTTTTTGGCTGACTCTCTGATATCTAAATATAATATTAACTTGGGAGACAACAAAACAACAATCTAATACAAAAAAAAAAAAGGAGAAAAGACTCCTCAACGATTCAGGAGGCAGTGATTATAACCGAACAGTGGTGATTTCCTAAGATTCTGGGCAAGAACTTCCTTCTTCAGATGTGTATAAGAGACAGCCACCGCGCTCAGTCAAGAGTTGCCTTCTCTTAGCATCCTTGCCAATACCTGTCATGTGTTGTCTTCTTAATAACAGCCATTCTAACTAAGGTAAGATAATATCTCATTGTGTGGTTTTTTGTTTTTGAGTCAGAGTCTTGCTCTGCAGCCTAGGCTGGAGTGCAGTGGCGCAACCTCAGCTCACTGCAATCTCCCCCTCCTGGGTTCAAGCGATTCTCCTGCCTCAGCTTCCCGAGTAGCTGGGATTGCATGCGTGCACCACCATGCCCAGCTAATTTTTGTATTTTTAGTAGAGATGGAGTTTTGCCATGTTGAGAAGGCTGGTCTCAAACTCCTGACCTCAGGTGATCCGCCCACCTCAGCCTCCTAAACTGCTGGGATTACAGGCGTGAGCCACCATGCCAGCTTCCTTGTAGTTCTGATTTGCATTTCCCTGATGATTAGTGGTGTTGAGCAGTTTTTCATGTACCTGTTAACCATTTGCATGTTTTCTTTTGATTCTCCTTATATTATTATTATTATTAATTATCATTATTATTGAGACAGGTTCTCACTCTGTCACACAGGCTGGAATGCAGTGGTATGATCACAGCTCACTGCAGCCTCAACCTCCCTGGGTTTAGGTGATCCTCCCACCTCAGCCTTTTAAGTCATTGGAACTAGAAGTGTGCAACACCATGCCTGACTAATTTTCGTTTTTGTAGAGATGGGGTCTCTCCATGATGCCCAGGCTGGTCTGGAACTCCTGGGCTCAAGTGAGCCTCCCACCTCAGCCTCCCAAAGTGCTAGGATTACAGGTGTGGGCCACCATGCCCAGCCTATTATTGTTATTTTGAAACAAAGTCTCACTCTGTCACCCAGGTTGGGGTGCAGTGGCACGATCAAAGCTCACTGCAGCCTGGAACTCTAGGGCTCAAGTGATCTATACTCCCACCTCCGCCTCCTAAGTAACTGAGACTACAAGTGAGTGGCTATTTGGATTCTCCTTTTAAACAGAGCAGCAACTTGAACCAAAAATACTTTTGTTTCTTCAGATCCTATGTTGTAAATCACTTCTCTTTGAACTAAGTATGCAGCAGAAGACTTTAGAAGATGAAGCTGAACAATAAAAATGTTAACTAAACAGATTGAAA